TTAAAAATAAAAAATCATATTAAATTTATCAATTATCTAATTTAATTTATTTATATAATATTAACACTAAAATTAATATTTAATTTTATATTTTTTTATAATTTTATTATAAAAAAATTATTTTAATTTGTATCTTAAAACACAAATTAAAAAAAATTAATAAAAAAAAACAAAACAAAATATCGCGATCATCAACTATCACCCCACATATTTTTGTATATAAATAAAGTATTTATTTAGAACATATTTAATATCTGAAGACATAAGAGTAGTAATAAATAAATAATTACAAAATTAGGAAATAAGGATTAGCTTGCCCCGAGTTTGCCACAAAACTCCACCTGTTCGCCGATTCTCTCCCTCTAGGGTTTCCGACGAGGTCATCAATTCTTAACGTTCATTCCTTTCCTTTCCCTTCTCCTTTTCCTCGTCCAAAGCTCTCACCTTTCCGTGTTTCTTTTCCCTCTTTTTCCCTTTTTCAATTACCCAATTCGTTATTTTAGTCTCTTCCTCCGCAGAATTCAGTAATTTTGCTGCATTTCTATTTTAATTTCGAATACCCCATATATATATATATATTTAACTTTGTTTGTTTTGATGTTTTGATAAATAAAGTTTTGATTTTGTGTCAGGAATTCAAGCTGAGAAGAAGAATTTTAACCGAGTTGGTAGGCATCGTTTGTAAGAATGGGAACTGGTCTGGATTTCTTGAACTACCTTAACGAAAACGTGTCACTAAAGATTATGACATGTTTGGACGATCCATCTGATATTGTTCGTGCCTCTTCTGTCTCCCGCAATTGGTTACATTTTGGTGAGTTGAAGCAACTTGATGTATTCAGGGACTCAATTCTTTGTTTTGTCCATCAATTTTGTGGAAAAGTTCCATCTGGGCATGATGTCTGGTTGCTGACATACTACTTTGGTTGGTATTTTTGTTCCCGTGAAATTCATTGTAATCTGTTGTGCTGTTTTCAATCATTGAGGACATTATAATTGTGTTGTGTTTTGAAGGTAACAGTTCTTCATAAGCAAAATAACAAAGTGTCAATCCTTTGATTGCTCTTTCATGGAATTTCAGAAATTTTAGCTTGGATTATTGATTATGGATTATGGAATTGCCTTTTGCCACTGGTAGAAGAGTAATCGTCATAAGCACCATAGTTCTTTTATGGTTATATGTTTGACTATTCACAGCAATGACTTAATAACGTGGTTGTATACGGTTTCCAGCGATTGATAATGGTCTTGCCAAGAAACTGTGCTTCAGGATGTTTCCTCAATTATCTAGAGTTGATCATGTTGTTGAACATTGCTGCGTCGCAAGAAACCCACAGGTGGAAGCTGGATCTAGTAACATGGAATGGGAAACTTTGAAGAAAGAGCACAGAGTCTAAGCCTTTCTGGCTCGAGGTTGTATGTCTTTTGCTGAACGCAAAGACTGCATCACAGAAGCAATTATGGCTTCCAGCACTGATAAAAATCCACACGAAAGCATAGATAACACTTTGGAAGAATTGGATAGAGTGGGATGGAGACATTCATACTGGTCAAGTAAAGGTCAAAGTAACCCTGCAGTCCCTGAAACGCTAACTTACAAATTGGTAGCTGATTTGTGTGTTATTACTGAAATCAGAATAAAACCTTTCCAAGGTAACTGTTCTAAATTTTTGAAAGTTCAGCTACTTTTTCACTTTTTTATCTACCTTGTAAATTTCCTTCTATTTTGGGTCTAGCTTCTTTCCAGCCGGGTTCACCTATATATTCTGCAAGATCTGTACTATTCCGAATGGGTCATTCTCTGGGTGACGATTTTGTGTGGACTTACACTTCAGAAGAGTTTCCAATGGATCAGGTGGGTTCAAGTAGCTCAATTGGTTTTTTTCATGTCACTTAATTGACTTCATCTTTTCGTTGTGCTATTAAAGATGAAAATTAATACAATGAAATCTTGTATTTCCCAGCACTGATTGAAATGGATTACTATTTCTCAGTTGTGAAAGGGTCCTTTCCACTTTTTGATTGTAACCTGAAAAAGGTTCTCTTTTTCAAGTTTAAAAACCCCCCTTTGACACTCTTATTAAGTTTCGTTTTTCTTGAAATGAGTTCCTTATTCTTTTTCCCTGTTTTTGATCTGCAAATAGATAATTCTCTCAGAACCAGTGATGGTACTAATTATTGTATGTATTAACAGGAAAGTAATTTGCAGAGTTTTAAGCTTCCAGAACCTGTTCTTTGCATTGGTGGAATATTGCAGATTGAGCTGCGGGGTAGAGTCCAAACACAACAAAGTGATGGATTATTTTACATATGGTATTGACATGCACTTATACAATAATAGTTGTTTATAGTCATTCAACTGTGGACTTGAAAGTTTTAACCTTTTAGTGGTCCAGATGCACTATTAGATTTTTGAACCTCTCTTGCTTGCCTGATATCCATGGGATTTTGTTGACAAGAATGGGCACGATCATATCCTCTATAGGTTTTATTTGAGGATGCGGGAAAGGGGTTACTGTTAAAAAAAAGATAAGAATGCCTTTTCATTATATCATTTTTTTTTTTATGAATGATGTGTTTATGTAAATATGCTTCTTGTTATGCCATCTGCATGTTTATGTAATAGAAACTGTTTACCTTATATACATGTAACTATGTCAACATTTTAATTTGTATTTTTCGTTTTAATTATCTGTTAAATCATTGTTGCTGTATTATCATTTGGTTTTGGTCAAATATTGAATCATTTGGTCTATGAAGGCACATGAATAACAAAAATTCAAGAATACATGCAAATTGTTTCAATTTATGCATTTTGTTGCTATATTTCAGTGTGGCTCATGTTCAAGTTGTTGGACGCCCGTTATCTCCATTTGGAATTGAAATCCTTGAGCCTCTGAAAAGTTTGTGTTGAAGGCTTTGAGCTATACACAACCTACCTTGCCTGAAGAAACCCGGGAAGATGGTTCAGCACAGGGTTTGGATTGGCATATGCGACCATTTCAACAAATGATTGATTATCTTCCGGGGAATGTACTTGACGTTGACATCTGGGAATATGAATTTGAGGGTGAAGGTGGTGGTGAACCAGATAAAGAGTTCCTCTAATCAGTCAACTGTCATCTTGAGTTAAAAATAGTTCTATCATATTAGCGGTATGGTATTCATTTAATAATAGTTAAATATGTAAATTATCCTTTAAAGTTGTCATGTTGAAGCAAATTGTAATAAAAAAAAAATCAAATATAGTTAAATTTTGTTAAAATATTACTTTTAAAGTCTAATAAAAAAATTAACAATAATTATTGAATTTAGATTATTTTTAAAAAATAAAAACTTAAAGATAAAAAATTACATTAACATTATTTATAACATTGTTTTTAAGTGACAATTTATTTTAATATAATAATTTTTTAGAGAAATTTGCCCTTTTCCCATTTGTAATTAGTGTCTATCTTCGCTCAAATTGTAAACTAAACAGGGCTTCCTCCTAATAAAATAGAAACATAGGAGGTCCATTAGGCCAAACTTAACTTGTAGTCTGTAGAGATGGTTATGGGCTGAAGGGTTCAGCGCAACAATTGTTTTTTATTTTTTTTTGGATGGATGGGAAACTCTTATTTTTTATCATCCATGATTCATGAAAGTGGCTGTGGGCAACTTAATAAAGGGTTTGTTTATGCTTTGTATCCAGGATAAGATGTAATTATTAGATAATAATTATTAATTTTTTT